GCATCATTGGTGCTATCAGAATAACAAGATCGGTTTGGCGGGTATTCTGGACAGTGTGCGCATACTGCCCATATTCGACGGTGAAGTTCCGAGTTTTCCCGCACTCGAGGATGCTTTCACCTACCTGATCAATGGGACGAAAGATCATGTGAAAGTTATTCTCATGACGGAAGGTTCCGATTCAAGGAGATCCCAACTCGTTACCGACAAGATTCAGGAAGCAAATGCAGCTGGCATGCTCGTTGTCGTCACGGCAGGTGATGTGCACCTGGATCTGGACAAAAATCCATACTTCCCTTGTACCTTCGGCCGTTCACCCGATGATGGAGTGTTATGTGTGGCTGAAACGTATGGTCCAAAAATGCAGCTTATGATTGAAAGCAATTTCGGTTCAGCTGTTGACATTGCTGCTCCAGGTAACGAAATATTTACAACTGATCTCAAAGGGGGATATACCAGAGTTTCGGGTACTTCGGATGCTGCCGCTATTGTAGCAAGTATAGCTGGGATGCTCTACAGCCTTGAACCTTCTCTGAAGACTAAGCTGACCCCTGCTTACATCAAAAGTATCATCAAGGATACGGCCACCAAAGGTGTCAAGGACAGTGAAGGAAAGAAGACTCTCTCCTTCGGCCGCGTGAATGCTGCGGCGGCTGTCAATAAGATACTTGGAAGGAAGAAGGTTTAATTTTTCACTCTGACTCCGTCTCATGATGATGGAGTCAATGACACCGAGTCATTGATAACTTGTTCAGTGAACTCTCGTCTAGCTCGATGGTCTCTCTTTTGCTGGATAGATTATTAGTTTATTCGATTCATATATTGTAAATGTGAAGGTCTGACCATCAGACCTGATCATCATGACTCTGAGGATTTGATAAAGATGATTCTTTACGCCCAACTGTTGAGTTTTGAATTCGCGTCATGAATTTGCGCCTGGGTCGGTCTTACTTTCGTAGGCAAGTATTGGCTCGGTGTTCCAATTATGAATCGTTCTGGGAGATGCTGGTGCATCATCATCGATCGTTGTCCCACCCCCCGTACCACACAATATGTCTCTCTCGGGTGAAGGAATCCCTTAGCTGAGATTATGGTGAATATTTCTCACATCGATTGAGTATCATCAAGCTGCGGTTTACGGTATTCCCCTGAAATTACATCCAGTGAGGTGTTATCCGAATAGCCTATTCGGAATAGCTGAATCATTAACAGTTGTGAAACTGGGAACTGGACTTGAAAATCTCAAGTTGCGATATATATCAACTCTTCCCGATGAATGCAGTTGGAGAACGAGTTCTGAAAGCAGATCAGGACTGCTGAACTATCCTACTGATCATAGTAAATGGTGAAAGCAGCGGAGTTTCGCCCGTTCTTTGTGAAGTGGCATCATACTCCGTGAAAAACCCAATATTCGCGGTATGAAGTAGCCGTGAAAAATATTTTTCATTAGTGTTTTTCATATTACGGGTGAAATTGCAGTTAAAGGTAAATAAATCCAATATTGTTATAATATGGCACATTGAAATCAGAATTAACTGTCATCAAACCCACACGTACCGTCTAGAGGGAGGTTGTGTTCTTAGTATCTTGGACTCTCGGATTGATTATGTGATTGATTCATCCGATAGCTACAGCGTGAGGAGGCATTTACATGGTTAACTACGTATGTTGGTGATAGTATGGAAGCCTCGGGAAGTTTTTGTTGTTTTTATGTACACTTTTACGCGGATTCGCATGGGAGTTCTCCCATAGCTAGTACGGAAACTCGCAAGTGCGAGTGAGGAAGCAAATTGCTTCCTCACTGAGGAAGCAAACATATATTCCCCCAACACTATAGGAAACTCCTGAGCTTAGCTGAGGAAAGCGAACATATATTGAGGTTTTGGAGGTATTATCAACTCCATGTATAGTGGATCCGAAACTATTTTGGTCATGATTGTTTCTGCATGAACGTTTCCATCGATAAGATGATATTTTGAGTTAAAGTAACATACTTTTAAATTGAACGCTGACAGAACGGGATGATGGAGACATGCACTGGGTGCGATGCACAATCCTGTTCCAAGGGTCTCAGCGATGCATGTGATGGCTGATCTGTGATTGTGAATGTAGTAATGATGTGGTTATAATACGAGTCATGAGTGTATACCATGATGATGACGATTTTAAGAGTTCTGACCATTGCACTGAATGTCACAAGTAGTAAAGAGAGAGAATCAAGGAGCGTTGTGGGGAGGGATCCGTGACACAGTGTGTACCAGTCCGTGACTGGGCAGACTCACGCTTTGGAGTGCA